GAGGAAATATCGAGGAACAAAGCTGAGATAAGTGGGGGGGGAGCCAGTGTTGACGTTTCAAAGAATCAAACGGTGCCTCCACTCGACTGGCACCGGCCTCCTGCTCGTCCCTCACCCTCCACCCCACTATCGAGGTCACGCTTTCAGCCATTACCCTGAAACTCTGGAACATTCTCCCTCAATCCCTCTGCCTTGCCCATCTCTCCCCTGATTCAAGTCCGCCTGAAAACCTTCCTCTTCGACCGTGCTTAGAACCCCTCCCCCCCCCCCCACCGGCTCGGAGTCAGGCTCCGCCACTTTAAGCGCTCTGAGATGCTACCCTGGGTGGAGGTGTTATATAAGTGCAAGTTGTTGCTGTACTAAGTCACGGAGGCAACATTAGTACACATTGCTGTTATCCTGTAACTCCAACCTCAGAGGACCAACTCCTTTAAGTGTGGATCAACCATTGCCTTTACAGGCCATCTTATGGCTTCTCTACAGAAGGCTGCAGAAGTTCGGTGGCTTCACAGACCTTGGGGTCTCAATGAGAAGATTTTAGACGCCGCTTTCTTTAAATTTAAGGAAGAAAACATTTTATTTAAAAATTGCTTTCTATTGTGAAACCCATGCCAATGCTTTCATCATTAAAACTGATGGCTTTTTCACAAGCTGACAGTGCACAACAAAAACCATTCATATCGCGTTTTCTTCTGAAAGCTTTGAGCTTTTCTTAATGGTAATATATAAGTTCAATTCATCTACATTATCTTACACATACATACTCATAAGCACACACACACACACAGGGCAACCTCCACAACACAAAATCACACATTAATGAAACTAGATGTTTTCCAGATTCAAAGAGGAACGTGACAATACGGCCCAGTGAAATGGCAGAGAGAGAGACTTCTTCATTAGATCAATGCCAGAGCTGTCTGATCAGCAACTGAATGTTACCAACTTAACAAAAAACTGGAGGTCATGCGAAACTGAGGGCAGCAATAATATCAACCTGACTCCATACAATCGACCTACACTTAGGAAGCTCTTACTCCATGAGGCAAATGTAGAAGAAACTATTGTAATAATGTCATCAAGATCAACAATTGAGTTGAGTGACCCTGATTAAACAAACTTCTAAAGGTTTCTTAATAACAAATTGCTCGTTTAAGTATACAGCTTTATTTAACTACTCTTTCGAGAGAATCTGGATCTCTGCTGGTGGATAACAAATATTGTTAGCTTGAACAAGCACATCACAACCTTCCCTGCTATGGCAGAAATTACTTTCTTTTCAAGATCGTCAGAAAACTGTGCACTGGGCCGGACTTAACTCTTCGTATGCCACATGTGTATACCTACGTAAACATAGAAATTACAATTTCTTGTGTATTTTTTAACCAGGGTAAAAAACAAATACAACTTGCACTTACATCAAATTTTGAGATGTGTTTCACAAAATGTGCTTCATTATTATCTAGACAAACGTGGCAGCTAAAGTCCCAAACAATGAGCAGCCAATTCAAGTGAAGCCCAGTTATATAAAACCTCAATCCACCTACAAACACACTTGACAGGGAATTCTATGAAGCACTTTGAGATGTCCAACGTGAAAGGCGCTGTATCAAATACAAAGATGATTATATTTATTGCTTTTGCATTGAGAAAATGGCACAATGGAAGCCAAAAGAAACAACTGGCAAATAATCAGAATCTGCCAGGAAATTGTTTAAAATTGACGCTATATAAAATGAAATTACAACGCACAAAATGTGAATAATACCATCTCTCCCCCACCCGAAAGGTAATAAAAATAATCCGAAAGGATTATCATTATGGGATCATTCACAGCCAACTGTAAACATGGAGCAAGGGACACAATTACATTCACTTGTTTATTGCAAATCTTTCTGCTGATTGCCACATTGGAGAAGTTCTGTATCTGGCTCCATTGTTCATAATCCACATTCTGGTGCTTAGAGACTATTAAAAATATTCTTTAACGCTAAAATGAAAAACAAATATGCAGCTACAATTAAAACACTGGCTAGTGCCAAATTACATAAAGCAAAGTTATTAAAACCCAACTGTCTTAATAAACAATTCTGCCACAAGTGGAAAGATTATGGGGAGCAATAGTGATCCTTTCCAGTAAATCACACTTTTGCTTAGAAAATAATGCAAAGCTGGGAGGATAATTATATGAAATAAACATCTCCAATGACATCAACAGAACCACATTATAATACACATAAGAATAGATATTTCATCCTCAAACTAAGTAAAACTGCTGTGAGGCAAATTATGAGGCAGCCTCATTCACAGAATCCCAAATTGGCAAACACTGCAATGCCAACCCAAATGTCAGCTCCACAGAGCAGAACATTTACTCATAAATCAGGGAATAATAGCTTGGCGTTATTTATGTTGCCACTTTTTGACACATAAAAATTCTCAAATACAAAAAAAGGACAAGGTATCTAGGCCGCCTGCATCTCACTGATCCCTGGAGATACCTGATAAATATTTTGCATCATCTAACTCTTGTGAATCTGACACCAAGTTCTGACCCTTTCCGAGTTGCCTTTGAAATCTTAAGAATCATAGGATGTTTATAGCACAAAAGGAGGCCATTCATCTCACGTTTGTGCTGGTGCTAGCCTCCCCATTGAAGCTAGCTGCTCTAACCCAATCCCTTGTAATCTTTAAATGTAATGTACATCTTAAGTTTATTAAGATCCTGAAGCTGCTCCAGTTTAAATTATCCAGGGGCCACAACCCTTGGAGTAAAGCATCAAAAGTTCCTGAGAGAGTTGGTAAAACTCCTTTCACAATGCCTGGTGCAGTGTAAGAGCTAAATGATTCAAAAATCTTCTAACTCTTGACGGATTTAAGATTCAAACATTGATCATGTAGTCAATAAACTCCTCACACCAGATTTTCTAAAGCATCATCAGGTACAGGCAGAATATCATTTCCTTTCTGAGAGAAATAAGATCACAATAGTATTCCTTGCATTTGATATAGCGCTTTATCATGTTGTTGAGAGGTCTCAAAGCGCTTCACAGGATATATTGTAAAGTGGATTGACTGTGTATTTTGTGGCAATAATAATAAATCAAAGAGTATTTTGAAGGCTGGCATAAAATACAAAATAAAACATATTTTTACAGTACATCTTCACATTGAAATATTTCAAAGCACTTTGCACTTATTACTTTTATAACAAACAATAACCATTTGGGCAGAGCAAAGCCCCTGAGCCAAGAGGTGAATGGCTATTTGGTCTTGAAGAATATTTGTCATGAAATCTTCCCTTTTCAAATAGTGTTATAGATTTTCATGGATCTCAATTTAACTATTGGGTAACCAAGCAACAGCTGAAGTACATCCCTGTTACATTTATGCTAATATGTGGTTAGAAAATTACCTATAACAATGCAGAAGAGGGAAGACCTTTGCAGAGATTGTATAAATGGGTTCAATGTATTACAGTAGTGATATCGCCTGATCTAACTAAATCAATTCTTCTCACCATCACTCCCCAAAAATTACTTACCAGTAAAATACCCTCAAAAAACAACCAAACTGCAGAAATTGAATTCTCTTCTGGACTGAAACAGTCTCCATAACTTAAAATTATAATAAATCATAATGTTATGCAGTTTCAATGACAAAGATGTTTCTTTGAAGGAGCCATTGTTGAAATGCCTTTTCTACCTCGGAAGACAATCAGTTTCATAATCAACATTAGAGCATTTCAATTTCAATAAATGTATTAATCAAAGATGTTAAACCTATTTTTGGACTTCCAATTTATACTTGCATGAATACATTTATCTTTTCAATAGCCACTGAGTACTGGATATATCCAGACATTCCCAAAATAAACTATCTGCAATACACAATGAGAAGCTAGGAAGTGAATTCTCTTTGTTTAACTGCAGATGCCAGACTGTAAATTTAAGCACAGTGTGACACATTTCCCTTCACATCAGCACCTTCATTTCCACCGGTCATAACAGATATATTTATACACTTGTAATTTAATAGGCATTTTAAATACACTAGTAAGCAAATGAACTCACAGTATAAAGCTGAAATTTAACCATGCTTCCAAAAGTCTAAATTTTTGATAGACAATTTACGGAAATATAAATATTCCACAAATAAACAATTTTTACTTCTAAATAAAGCGCCAACTTTAATATTTCTACACCCACAAGACTGCCACAGCCAAAATATGCATTTCCATTCTACAGACTGTTAGGGAATAGGATTTGCCTAAACACAGAGTTACTTACTTTTGTGATCAGCGTCCTGTAGTCTTCCACCATCTGGTCATTATTGTGACATCCAGCCAGCAGCTGCCAAACTTCCCCGCGTAAGGCTTCAGGGACACCACTGCGGACCAGGGCAGACAGCTGCTTCGGTCTCACACTCAGGTT